CAATCTTTTGACAGAAGAGAATGAAGAAACAACAGCAGGCAGGTGAAAAATCAAATATACTTCCCATAATTAAAAAAAAATCCTAGGGTGTTGTCTTAGAAGATAAGGCTATGCACCATGCGTAGAAGAATATAGATTTAAAATGTCATATTAAATTCTGCATTCTGAACATATACAAGTGTGTGCATATAAATATATATCATGTTCCATACAAACATGGCAATAATTGAAAAAGATAGTTAATTCTGTAAACTCCTTAGTCTGCATTTTCCTGCTGGCAAGACAATACACTGTCTTGGCTATTCCCTGCAGGAATGACTCTGCACTTCTTGGTGATAGCTGCCGTGTGTAATGTAACAGCTGGGTATGTACCTAGACATCTGAGAGCAACATTAACAATTCAAAGTTTTATTAGGAAGTCATCTTCATTGCAGTGTGTTCCTGTCAATCATTTTACAGAAAGAACTTGGTGGAGGAAAGCAGTGTTTCTATTTTTTGGCTCTATCACTGTTTGCCTTGAATAAACCACACTGTGAGGAAGAATAAGTGTAGTTGTACGAGTACATTCATTTTCATTGCTTAGGTTTTTCAAATGAAGAAGTATTGACCACAATTTTCAAACATGAGTGCCCAATTAGACATTTTTGTGAAACAAAGTTGATTTTCAGAAAGGTTGAGTTCCTGTATCTTGCTCCCCTTGACTCTAGTGGGTGATTAGCACTTCAGGAAAGGAAGCTTCTTTAGTTTAGATACTTGCATATGGATGTAAGGACGTGGTGTGTGTGTGTGTAATCCTAAATTTTGACTTGCATAGTGTGAGAGCTGGCATGTAGGAGACATTAACAACATTATCCATCCAGCTGTGAGAACAGTTTAACCAACGTTGTTAGAGTACACAGTTATGTAATAATGAGAGTCTTGAAAAAAGGATGATCTGTGGCAGATCATCAGTGCCATGACCTAAGTGGGAAGCTCCAAGTAAAGAAGTACTTTACTGTGCATTCTGAAGTCTGTCAGTCAGGCAAAAATGGACTTTTAAGTGCAGATCATGCGGGAGGGCTGGTCGCAGATCAACTGCTGAGGCAGGAGGAGAGTTGAAGCTTCCAAATCAGCTGGCAGCTCTTTTGCACATGACAGTGCAGTTCTAAGTCCAATAAAATACCAATGCTAATATTTACAACCATAAAAATTCAGCTTTGGGAGGTAAAAAGCAATCCTATGCTGATGTTGAAAGGAAGAGTTGGCCCAGGCTGTTTATAGAAAGCTTGTAGGCTCCTGTTGTTCTTTTCCAATAAGCAGTGGCTGTCATGATGAAGTGATGGGAGCCGACAGGAGAAGGGATAGGAGAACGATCATCTGTAGAACTGCCTCCTAGCACCTTTGTCACTAGCTCTTCCTCTTTCCCCTCCTGTTGCTAGGATGGGATTGTGGTGGGGTAAAGCATTTAAAGCTGATTGTTATGAGCTGTGGGATAAAAATTTGGAGGTAGATGGAGGAAGTTGTTAAAACTGGCCTGAACTGAGGTGTTCAAAATTTAGCAGATTCAGAAGTCCTAGAAGTTAGGACATTTGGAAGCCCTCTTTTGGCTTGTTGGCTAGTATTTATTCAGTTTAATTTTCCTAGTTTTCATCCAGTGGTTTTAATCACTATTGGCATTGGTGGAGTTATAAGTTCTACCCGATGTTGAAGGAACCCTAATCAGTTATCTAATTCCTCCTTGTGCTTTCTGGTCTGGTAGGATTGATCACTCTTTAAGCCACTTAGATCAATGGTGCCCAACCTTCTAGCCCCGCAGGTGAGATCCCATGCAAGTTTGGCACATGAAGTTGGTCTGTGGGTATGATCCCGTGCATCAGCCGAACCCTGTACAGTACACAGCTCAATCCTCTGATTTGCCAAGCTGATCCTGTGGATTTGCCTGCATGTTGGCTTGACCCCACCAATGCATTTCCAGCTGTGGACCATTCCCATACACCAGTACAATCACATGCCAGTGCAATATAGCATGCAGGGTCATGTCATCAAGCCTACTGGGCTCCCTATGTGTCTGGAAATATGGCAGCAAGGGAACAGCAATTAATGCTGCCATTGCTTTCCTGCTGTCAAATTTTCAGACTTGTGGGGAGTACTGAGGGCTGGATGACATGGCTTCATAGGCCAGAGGGTAAGCACCACTTAGATTGCTGCAGACTTAGATTGCTGCAGACTCCAGGGCCTCTAGCAATATGTGTCTGAGTCTCCTTTGATAGGTTGTCCAGGGTTTCCAGGTTCAGAAGGGATTTTTCCCCCAAAAGTCTTTTACCTATTATTTTTCCCACTGTTATTTAAACCATTTAGATTTCTTGTTGTGTTTTTGTTGACCAATGGGACAATTATCTTGCAGTTCACTTTCTAGTATTCTTGCATGTGTTTTAGGTGCATCTTTTATCCCAGGGAATTGTTAAAAGGTGCATTATTAAAAAAAAAAAAAGGCATTTATTGTATTTTAAAGATAAAGTCTTACTTTCATATTACAGTTGCTTTTGAAGGTCACATTACTAAAGTAGTAATTAATATGAAAAATCCAATCTAGAAGAAAAATAAAATGTTGATAGATAAGGAAATCCAGGAAAGTTTAGAACAGAGTCATACTGTGAGGTGGAATAAGTGTAGTTGTACCAGTGCATTAATTCTCAGGTTTTTCAAATGAAAAAGTATTGCCCAAAATGTTTTAACGTGAGTGCCCAATTAGTCATTTTTATGAAACAAAGTTGCCTTTCAGAAGGGCTGAATTCCTATATCCTTCAGCTCCCCTTGACTCTAGTGGGTGATTAACACTTCAGAAAAGGAAGTCAACCTCTTTAGTTGAGATCCTTTTATATGGATGTAAGAACCTAACTGTAGTCACTTCTGATATATCAGGTTGGCCATAAACTTCAGTGTTTTTGCCATTTGATAGCATTTTGATATTTAAAATATTACTGAAAAGCACTTAGAACCTTCTAAGATGGTCCTTCCTTTCTAAATATTTGTTCCTAAATACTTGTAAAAATTGTTGAAAATTCTTTTCCCAACTTTTTAAGTTGGTCTAATAAAAGATATCAGGATTCACCCAAAGAACCTTGTCTGCCTGTGTCCTTAGACCAATATGGCTACAACCTACACCCCGTGTAAATACTTGTTCAGCATTCACTCAAGTTTCTGTATCCCACAATCCTTTTTTTGCTTTGGAGGACTATTATCTTAGCATCCAGATTCATATTCAGTTTACCATCTGCTCTGACCCAGTAGGACCTTCAGTGTAGAACAGCTGCCTGGTCAGTTAACTTCTGCTTGCAATTTGTGTATTAGGAAGGAATATTAAATGCGACTTGCTTCCCATTTGTCTTTATTGAATTTCAGTTTAATTTATTTCCTCCAATTTATCCATTTTATTACAAGACTAAATGTTAAACCTAAGCTACTTGGCAGTATCCCCCCCTTTAAAGCCATATTTTTTATGAAGTGTCTGTAATTTTTTTATAAATGATGGGAAAAAAAAAACAAAAATCTGACATTTCTGGAAAGAACAATTTTTATTCTCTGAGATTTATTCTCTGAGATTTATTTCAGTGGGTGCACACTGCTCCCTTCTGAGAGCTCTGTCATATTTTTTCTGCAACATTATTTTCCTGATTATTTCTCTCTCTTCTCTCCCTGCCATATCTTCTGGCTTATTGGTTAGAAAGCAATTTGTTTTTAATTTTTTAAAGTTTGCAAGTCACACACACCAACTCCTTAATCAGTGGCATGCAATATGCTCGCGCACAACGGTATTTTTGGAGCGTGGCCTTTTGAAATATGCATTGCTACCGAGCATTATTTCTATGTCTGATCAGCTAAGCCCTTTCATAGTTTCCATGGGTATAATTTATGTATATTTCATTTCAATTATTAATGAAGCTGAGTCTAGCCTTTCAATATCAGAGGAAGGGACCAAGCAAGAGACACAGAGAGTACTTGTTCAGCATACATTTCTCTAGCATGGAACAGGTTTCGTTTTGATGGAGTTTTACCTCTGGCCTTCTGCATCGTGCACTGGGGAGAGAGATGCCAAGCGTCCAAGGTCCATGGCTCTGCTTTATGTCACCCACTTAATATAGAACAGAATTCTGCCACCCGGCAGAGTGTCCTGTATGAAAATAGAGACGATGCTCTGCTCTCAGCCTGGTGGTTGCTTTAATATATTGGCTACAGCAGGCAGGCAGTCACATGACCTTGACATAGACATGTCAAATCCCTTATAAAAGATCCCTGAACACTTAGTAGGTGAACCCCTGTCAGTAATAGCAAGTACAGTTACGTTAGCAGGCAAAGTTGAGAGGGGTTACTTCATGGAAAGGCAAAGGAACAAGCTAGAAAAGGTTTTCATAGGGTTCAGAGACATAGTGAATTTTTTATTTATGGTGGGTCTTCCTTACAAGAACTGATAGCTGTGGCACATGACCTTTAGAAACCAAAAAAAGGGTGCCTATACACATGCTCCAGAGTTGGGGGGGGGGCGCAGGGGGTGTTTTAATTAGAGTAGCTCTCGGGAGTTGCTCTTATTAAAACGCCCGTGGTGTCTTGTGTATTCAGCGTCCCGCATTTCAAAATGGAAGCAAGGGCACTTTAACTTAAGTTTGTTTGGCGAGCTTCAAAGCACCTCTGCCGCTGTTTTGAAAGACGGGACGCTGAACACACGAGGTGCTGAAGCACACTGGAGCATTCTGATTAAAATACCCCAGCAGACTCGAGTAATCAGCAGACTAATTACTGTTGATTAATTTAAAGTAGTGTCCTGCATAGACCGGTAGGTAGGTGTGAAGGCCAAATTCCAGTCACTGAATGAGCGGTGATAAAATTATAAAAAGTCTGATCTACAGTGTATTGTCACGTGACACCTTGCCTTTCACTAAAGCTTTATCCTGACAGGCATGGAACAGGATTGATTAAAAAATGATCTGCTTTCTACAGAAGGGAGTTATAAATAATATACTTACTTTTTGTGGAGGACATGTTGATGCCAAGAGAGAGAAAAAAATGTCTCCTTGCTCCTTTCACTGTATCAGAATGGCGACAAGAAAGATAAGAAGGCAGATAAACTGTCTTATGGAGACGGGCTGAAAAGACTGGAATTGTTTGCCTTAGAAAGTGCTTGCAGAGGAGCATGGAGCTTCTCCTCTCCCTGACTGACAACACACGATGAGGGTGTGTAAAATTAAACTGAAAGATGGAAAATTCCCCAAATACTTTTTCACAGTGTCTCACTACGCTGTGGAATTCACTGCCATAAGTTATTGTTGAGGCCAGGACTTGAGCAAAAGTCTCGATAAAAAAAGAATAAAAATCCAGGCTATTTTTACACGATAACTGTAATGTCCATAGTTGTTTAGCTGATGCTTAGAAATCATTGGATAGGAGGTAAAACCTCAGGTTTCAGGGCTGAAGACAAGACCTAGCTGCTGAAAGGTTGGGGTTAGCTTTCGAGGGTAGGGGGACAGCTGATCTCATTTTGCTTACTGCGGAGTTCTTGCACCTTCCTTTGAGGTGTCTGGTATCGGTGACTGTCCGAGGAAAAACACTGAACTCTCAGGGCTGATCTGTTCTGGCAGCTACAACAGTTCAGTCCTTAAAACAAGAAACCCTAAGACTGATTACCCTAGAGGCCAAGCTGCGCTACCCCAGAATAGCTCTGAAGTGGTTTGCCCCTTAGGACGCACAGTCTGACCCCAGATTAAGGAGGAGGTACACATGCTGTGTCATCCTATTTGCCACGTACCTTCCCACCCCCAGCTGGAGTATTTTAGTCCTCTGAGAAGTTGCAGGCAAGTGGGCCAACGGCCATGCATGGCCTTTCTGCTGAAGACAGAACGGTCCCTTTGCCCTAAGACAGCTGCACCCAGATCAGGCCCATCTTGGTTTTAACCATGGGCTAACTGAGCTCCCAATTAGTTGCTCTGCAGTGAGAATGAAATGCACCTACTTAACGCAGGTTTAATGACTGGCCACTCAACTGTGACAGTGCTAGTCTTGTAACATTTAAAAGTAAAGTTTTGAATAGATTTCCTCCACCAGCCATGGACTGATGTTTTCCCAGTGTGACTCTCACATACATTCACACATTTTGTATCTGTCTTCTTGCAGATATAAAACAGTCCTAGGCAGATATTTGGGAACAATATCTGTTAAAATCTATCCTGCTACACCTGCTGCCTCGACCCCATCTGCCTGGCCAGACCCCAGGCTCCAGAATACCACCATCCGGGCTGCCATTGCCCTCCTTGGCATCCAGCCCTGCCACCTCTGGGCCCGCTGGGCCAATCAGGACTTTTGGCCTGTCGTCTAGCACATGTGGGATAATGAGCAGTGGCTGGAGGCCTTCAGGATTACCCAGACCACCTTCTGGGATCTCCTGGAACAGCTCCAGCCACACCTGGAGTGGCAGGACACCATCAAGCAGCCTCCTCTTTCCACAGACACACAGTTGGCCCTCACCCTGCTCAAGCTGGCCACACCTACCAGCCTGTGGTAGATCAGCCACTTGTTTGCAGTGGGTAAGGCCACCACCAGGGAGGTCATCCTGGGGGTGTGCAGTGCCCTCCAGGACGACCCCCTGGCGCTGGTGGCGCCGTGTGCACAACCCCTGGCAGTGGTAGCTGGGTCCAAGCCCTGGGATTCACTCAGTGCAGCAGGGCCTTGGATGGGACCCACATCCGTGTCACCTGCCCACCTCATGGAGACCGCCTCTATTACAGCTGGAGGGGCTTTCACACTATGGTGCTTCAGGCTGTAGTAGACCACTGAGGTACATTCATGCACATGAGTGCCGGCTGGGTGGGCAGTGCCCATGATGCCCGCATCTTCCAAAAGTCTAGCCTGCTGGCCTGGTGGAGAGTGGGCACTTTGCGCCAGGGGTGCCAGACCTGCAGCGGGGCACTGTGGTGGTCTCTCCCCTCCTCATCAGGGACCCCACCTGCCCACTCCTGCCCTGGCTCATGTGGCTCTACACTGGCTAGCTGGCCCCTGCAAGCCCCACTTTAACCGCTGCCTGGGCCGGACCCGCACATTGGTGGAGTGCACCTTTGGCCGCCTCAAGGGACACTGGTATACCCTCACCGCCTGCCTCAAGTTTGCTGAAGACAACCTCCGCTGGGTCATTGTCACAGCCTGTGTGCTGCATAACAGCCCAGGAGAGCTCTTCCACGAGGCCTGGGTGGAGGAGCTGTGGCATGCAGAGGACACCTAGCAATGAGAGAACCACCTGGGGTGGCAGCGGCTGTGGT